GATATAAGTCTTAAAGTTGCCTGCATGCTCCAAGCGCCATTTTATCAGCCACACCCATAAATTTGAAGATTACTGAGATTAACTCTGTATACTTGCAAAAACGGATGTAAACATACGCGCTGTGGTATCACAGAATATAGGCAGGTTAGACACTCTCCCTAAATAATTATCCACTCTTGGTATTATGCATATGGGAACACAGAGAGATGGAGACTAAGAGAGAGGTATCTTAATTTTTCGATTGATTTGGTCATACTGTATAGCCAAAAAATTTTGTAATGAATAAATTTTTGTATTTTTGTGATCACTGTTTGCATCATGAAAAATTAAACCCCCGAAAATAAATATTAATCAAAGGATGTGGTCATACATTACATGCCTTACTACCATATACATATAGCTCCAAATTTTCATCGGTCAAAATTTTCACCAATTTTGTCAGGTATTTTGCTTGATGAAATTTTTAATTTTGTTCCACATGAGTAGTATGCCGATTACATGCAATAACAAAAATTACAAAAATTAATTTTAACAAGAAATTGAGATTTTGACGAACTTTTTGACTGACGAAAATTTGGAGCTATACGGTAATACACGTGTATGTACGTGTGTACATGCCCTTGTGTCTAAACAAGTTGTGTTCTTGGTCAAGCTGATATCTCTGTATAGCTTTAAGCCTAGTGGCGAAGTCAAAGATGATCTCAGCAATCACTGCTGGTGTCCACACTGTTTTTCCACGCTGGGAGGAACCTGGGATTCCTCCGCCCAAATTGCAGTTCCTCCCCCAAATATTCAGGGTAAATTTAATAAAGTGTTAATATATGTACTTGCTATAATTGACTGCTGTTCACTACAAAAAAGCTCACAATTGAAATCACGTGTATAATAGCTCATGTCTGCCCTGGTTAAATTGACTTTTGCTTAATTAGTGCAATGTTACAAAATAAAAATCCCCTAAAATATGCAATGCTATTGTTGATTTTTGTCGCATCCCTCTACAAAAAAATCCCGTTTGAATTTTATAAGTAGCTGTCATTATTTAATTGTTCTTCAAATTACATGATTATCAGTTTTTGTACTTTTGTTTTCTTTGTTACGCATGTACATTTACAGTGTATGTTTATGTGTATGGTGTATGATAATGCAATCTGTTGCATCGATTTTTAACTATGTTAATCCTTATACATGTAGAGAGTATTACATTATTTGTCTGATTGTCACAAATTATATTTATTAATAATGATTATTTTGATTTTAAATTGAATCAAAGTGATAAATGATAATGATTGAGCCTAAGTGATTAATAGATCATACACAGTTTAATTGTTTAATCTCATCCAGTAATTAGTTAAGATTGGCTTAATGTCTTTAAAGAGGCAGCTTAGTGAGTAAGCCACTCTGATTTAAACAGTGTAGCCTCGGTGTTTTGTATAGGAGGAACCATGTAATTATCATCATCTTGTTCCTATAGAATATACAATGTACACATATCATGTATTGTATAGACCACTTGAGCTGAAATGAATTACAATGTACGTCAATCAAAGGTATTATGGCAATGAGTGTTACAGAAAAATCAAGACATGTATTGAAAAAATTATCAGAGCCATTTTTGACAAAATTTGGCCAAAGACAAAAGGCTACATGTACATGTATTAGTTGACCTGATTTTTGATCAAATTAAAAAAATTGTAAAATAATCTAATTTTGATTAGAATCAGCTCAAACTTTTTACGCAAGATACGTATCAGAATATTTTTAAAGTGGTAAATTCTCTTCGAGTAATTCTTGATGAAATTTTGCCCAAGACCTTATAAAAATTGTAAAAATTTAGTTTTGATCAGAATTAGCTCAAAGTTTCTAAAATTGCCAAAATACAACTCTACCAATTTAAAATGCTAGACTATACATGGACATTGTGAGATATGCTGTAGCTTACAAGTATCTTTTGTTCAAATTTTTTGTCCTCTCTCCCTTTGTTCCTTATTCCATTGTATACTGATATCCCAAGGGCCAGTGTATTATCCTCTGTAGTCGCTAATACATGTACCCCTGGAGCTATTATAATGATAGTTTAGACTATTATACACTGGTATTATTAGGCTTAACTTACATGACATTATACAATATGCCGCCATTTGATATCAGCCACGAGGAGTATATATACTGGAGGGAGGGATAACCACGCCCTATTAATATTCATTGTGAAAATAATTATGATATAGAGCAATTGGCTAGAATAATTGTTAGTTCAATCTTTTTTACGATATACATGTACTTGCTTGTATGTGCACATGTATATTTGTGATAATTTTACTAGTGCAGCAGTTTTGTTTGTTTGACCGCAGTAAAGCTCCTCAAATATAATATGCACATATGACTTTACTATTATCAATCATCGCAGAAAGTGATATTAATAAATTAATGATAATTAATATGATTGATGAATAATAGACAATAATTGAATACACTCATATTATACAAGTACATGTCATGTTCTATTAGTCATTACAAGAAAATAATAATTATTAATAAATGGTAATTAACAATGATTGATAAATAAAATATTGATAACAATGGTTAAGTGATAAACAATGATTAAATACATTCATGAATTAAATACACTCATACGTGATATTATACAAGTACATGTCATGTTCTAATATTAGTTATTACAAGAAAATAATTATTACAAATGAATGTTAATTAACAATGATTAATAGATAAAATATTAATAATGATAACAATGGTTAAGTGATAAACAATGATTAAATACGCTTGTGATATTATACAAGTACATGTCATGTTCTAATCAAGTGCTGGTGTGTTGGGATTAAATATTGTCTCATTGAAGTATGCATGTACATGAATTGGATGATATGTTTGAGTTTATGTGTGTTTATCATTAAACCACCCACTGTGATTCAAAAGTGCGGGGCGCTTCTGTACATACTATTGGAGACACTGTATAATTATCATAGGGTGAACGTTCTTCCATGTCCTTTGTTTCATTAAGGTCAGTAGCCTCCTCTACATGTTTATGTATCTCTTGTTGCCCAACAAAACCTTCCTCCATATTTATTACAACTGCCTATAACACACACAAGATTAGGCTTGCAGCTTTGACATGAGCAATAGCTTACCTCCCCACCATTCTCTCTCCCTCTTTCCCTCAATCCATTGTACAGTGCCAATACCACTAGTATTGTTATTACTATGGTGCCTATCAATACATTAGTTGTTAGTATGCTCTCCTTTATTGATACATGCAACTCTGAGACAGTTTGTGCCACTTCAACTGGAGCTATTATGATAGTTAACACTCTATATAGGTCAATAATGACAATAACTTACATACTATAAGCGCCATCTTATCTTCTTTGTAGAGATAACTCAGCACGTGCAAGTACATCTACAGTACCACCCCCAATTATGATTAGCTCCAACAATTGTTATTGAGAGCAATGCATTGGAATAATTGCTTGAATAGGAAGATATAAATCAGTTCACTATTACATGCAGTTATTATATGTATGTACACACAAACACATGAACATAGATGTGTACGGGTATATTAGTCATTGTGTTACAATTTGTCAACTTTTTTGTAGCAAAAAGATTTATTTTAATCCTCAAAACAAGAAAATTAACAACACACATGCTTGTACATGTACTTAGTTTAACAATAGCAACCCTCAATACATTAATGGGCTAATCTGGTACTAGTTTAGTATAAGAGTCTCCTATTAGTTTAAGTCTCCCCGTTATCCATATACTCTTTTCTTGTGTTCTGTCTTTATTTTCTTTTTCATCCATTAGATACGAATCATCATCATCATTATGATCGCTAGTTTTCTTCTCCGATTTGTTAATTGTGGCTGGCATTGGACAAGGAGGAACAATGAGTGTCCTCTGTTTGTGTTATTGGTATGGAAGCTGCTCTCTTGATCAGCAGTAGCCTCAAATGTTATTCGAACAGGATTCCGAGACATTGTTCTGAGGTACTTGTCCAGACTCACTGAGAAGTTTCCATCAACTAGTATTCTACTGGGCCTTCCTTCATCCTCAACTTTGTAAAGAATAACTTCATTTTCCAGCTCATCATTGAACACCTAATGATTAACAACAGAGTGATTTATAAACCTTTCTATTTGGGTTTCCGTCCAAGTTTTGAATTTCGTCACTGCATATTATCAGAGCTGCTTCCTCATTGACTCCTTCATCTAAAGTATGTGTAAGTAGAAAGATGGAATGAAAAAATTGGAGAGAAAAAGGAAGCATATAATTTGTATGATATCAGAGAATGTTTACATGTACCTATGTAAAACGTACACTACCTTGTTTGTAATTATGTAGAAAATTTAGTAAACTCTCTCCTGGTCATTTTGACAAAATTTGGCTAAAAACCATGTACATGTATTACAGTACTGGAACTTTGGCCAACCAATTTTTGAGCAACTTTAAATTTAATTTTTACCAGAATCAACTTGAAGTACACATACACGTATAGTGCATACTGTGGCAGGAGTCACATTTGAAAAATTTGTTATTTGTGGGTTTTATATTGGTGAGTGGTGACTCAGATTGGACATGCACAAAGTGAAACAAAAATGGTGGAAATTGTGAAATTTATTTTGGTGAATGGCTGGATGCTCATTGTAACCACCAATAGTATTTCCCCACCAATAAATTTCCAGCTACTCTACATGTTAGGCCATTTATATTTAATTTACTTTTGCTGGAAGCACTCTACAATGTATAATTATGCTATTAATTTTTTATTATATAAATATAATTAAGTATATATACATGAGGGTTCTATCCAGTGGGGGGCAGGGGGAAAGCTTCCCCCACAAACTCTTCAGCTTCCCCCCCAGAACTTCAAGCTTCCCCCTGTGTACTTCTGTAATTGCATGCATGTACTGTACATGTACATATATGTATGTACACAACCTCCCCCCAGTCAGTTGCTCTGGGCTTCCCCCCCAAACAAAAATTCCTAGATAGAACCCTGTACATGTACAATTTTGGAGAATGCCAATTAATGTGTCACATCACAATGAAATGGTCAGTTTTAACCTCCCAGCCTATTTATACAGTTTTGTTAACAAAACTTCCTTCAACACAATACATAAAGCTTCAATGGCAGTATTAATAATATACTTTTGTCTTTATTGTCCTCAAAATGAAGTATCCTAAAAGACAGTGTCATTAAGCTTCATTTCATTACACTTACTCCTCTTCTTGTAAGTCGGCCATGTTAGAGTGAACTGTTGCTTTCTTCTTAAAACAAGTTTACAAATATGGTAATTGTTTTACCCTGCTATGAATGTTAATAATGAGACTAAATGTATTGTAGCCTTTGATAATAGTGATAATTCATTATTGCATAGCACCAATTTTTGTTACTGTCTGGGAAAAAAAATTCATCCATAATTTATTGTGTGATGAAAGTATAGTATGCTTTCACATTCTATAGTGTGTGAATCTTAGAAAATTTATAAGAAAAAAATTTTTGACAAAATTTCCTTGAGCACTACTGTAATACCATACGGGTATAAAATTCGATAGGGTATTTAATTTCACTAATTTTATGGGTGACTTCTCAACCACGAAAATTAATACCACGGAAATGCTCACTATGCATGCGCAGCATGTGAAAATCAATAACTTAATGCAAGTGCACGTGCAAAAACGTGAAATTTAACCCCCTTGAAATTAAAGAATTAAGAGCTTTTCACTAAAACACGAAACTCTATGCCCTCAAAATTTTCTACCTGTATGGTAATCATATCCTATGCCAAATTCTTTTCATTACCAGTAGCTTTTAACATGTCATTAACTTTAAAATCCTTTTACAAAGCTACTAAGAATACCGGTATCACAAATTCATGCACTATACCAATAGTGTACATGTGTAGCGTGTGTACAAGACAAAATTGATATCATTAATGTTTATGTACATGTATATCTCTTGATAGGTTGTATGACCCAGCAACTACTGTTGGCAGGTGAACGTGACTCCATCCTAGTTTCGACGCCATCCATCAAATCCTCTTCAGTATCTTGTACCTTTAAGAATTTTATGAGCAACGATTGAAGAACTGTTGCTGAGTGTCACTAGTGTCACTTGTATTTTCAGCTCATTAGAAGGCAGTGGACAAGAGGACAAGAGATGCTATTAAGCTATTTATATAATTTATTTATGTGATCTGTAATTATAAAATTTGTGTTAAATTTAATTTTAATATGAAGTCACTAAATTTTGATTTTGTGACTAAAATAATTTTAATTTTTTGTAAAAATAATTTTGTTCCTAATTTTTTGCCATGTTTGCGCATGCGCAGAAATAATTTGACCATGGCCGAACCTTTGCTTAACTATGGGGATAATCAAGATGATGGTAAGGGGGCACATTCATTGTAATTAACTTTTTGTGCGTAGATCTACTACTGTACTGTTTTAATTATATACAGGTACTAGATCTACTGAATCAGCCGGTTTTTTAATGGAAGGAGTTACTGATGTTTCAAGTTTATCAGATGAAAGTAAGCATAAATATATGAAAGGGGAATTTTAACTGCTTGCTTACTGTGATTTTTAATTACTGGTATTATAAGCTAATTTTAATAGAATTCACAATCATTGTAAGTGACTGTTTAGTCAGGCTTCAGGAAGTGCTATTATGACCACATTATCATAACATTATGGATTATGGTTTTTAAAAGCTATGATTTACATAATTTATGCATAACTCTACCCATTACATCAGTTGCACAAAATGCAGCATAAAGTCAACCTGGGGTTTGTCTCATGCCATACCACATCGAGCTTCAGTTTTATTTTTAAGTTATGTTAGCTTCCCGGCCAGAGTAGGAAGTTAAAACTGGTTACGTAATTGCACTTTCTTCACTGTAAGGCTTGCATTATAGTCCATTAGTCTGTATTTGTGCTATGCTTTAGCCTAGAAAAGATTGTATGGGCTGTCTTGAAAAAGAAAGGTGTTTAAATTGTGAGACTTTTATGACAAGAGAGAGGCTCTGGTTCATATCCTGAAGAGCATTTTAAAACCAGTATGCTATGCTTGTAATCATCTTGACTCCACTCACAACTATGATTGACAAAGTTGCTGGAAAATGGGCCGTAGTCAAATTCAAGCATACTTAATTCATGCACCCTCAGCACTATTATCCAATCTACTATACAAAGAATGTACCCTCATTATTGCTGTACCTATTAAGAGTTGTCATCATGCAATATGCATATGCAAAAAACAGTACTGCCATGCTATGAAGCTGTCCCCAGATTTTGCAGGTCTTCTAAAATCATGCTAGCAAGCAGGCAATACCTCTTTTAGCCCACCCATTCATGGCTGCTACTAGCATGATTTAGAAGGTATGCTACATTTAATACTGGTAACAGCTTTATCATCAAGTGATTGAAAACATTTGATATAAAGAATTTAGCCTTGTATTTTTCAATTAAGGAAAGAGTCAGCAAAGTAGACTCAATTAGCTAGTATTACATAATTTGGATGTCCTCATATTGTTAAGTCTTAAAGTCACTTATAATTTTTTATTAGGTACATGTATGTCTACAATGAAACGAGTTTTAACAAGAGAAGGAACTTTGTCAGACATTCACTTGCTAGTGGTAGGAAGAACCGGCCAGGGGAAATCAACTCTTATTAATAGTTTAATAGAGTTAGCAGAAGAAGTAGTTGAAGAAGGAGCAGAGTCAGATATTTGTACCAAATCATGTCACTCTTACGTTTATCCTGAGCTGTTACCAGGTGTCAGAGTGAGGATTGTTGACTCACCTGGTTTACAGGATATATATGCTAACGAGCAGCAATATATACAAGAAATGAAGTCACAGTGTCAGGAAGTTAGTCTGGTACTCTACTGCATAAAGATGACCGATCACAGGATTTCTAATGATGACAAATCAGCTCTGCGCAAATTGAATCGGGCATTTGGTCCTGGCTTTTGGAAGAGAGTTCTGTTTGTTCTTACTTTTGCAAACAACCATAAGTGCGACCAGAGGGATAATAGAGATGAAGATGGTCCAGAGCCTCCGTATTCAGATGAAGCTGCATGGGAAAATTTAATAAGACAACGGTTTGTTAACAGAGTGAAACGACGTGGTGCTGACATCAATACGTTCTTAAAGCAAGATTTGAAAATTGATGATTTACTTCAGTTTGCACCAGCTGGCCATTACAAACCAAGTTATTCTATGCGTAACCCAAAGCAGTTACCTGATAGAGGAGACTGGCTTTACGACATGATAGAATTGATTCACTCACAAATCAAGCAAAAGAAGTTTAGCAGGCTGAATTTAAATGATAGTAAGTAGATTTATGCTGTTTGTACAATGTATTTATTCTTATTCTTATTGTTTTAAGTTTAACATTGCTGTTATGTTATTTAACAATGTATTTGTAGAGATTCATTTGGCATTCATTGTTGATAATCATGGTGAAGTGAAAATTGAAAAGGATGGGACTAAAACTCCTAACAATGATGCTAAAGATGCTCAGAAATTCAAAGAAACCCTTGAAGAACTTGGGTTTTGTACGCTCTACTTTAATTCGCTCAGTTCTCAATCGATCAGTACTCTACTGGAAATATTCCTTTGTGTTGATCACTCTCAATTGGCTACGTTTGCTTTCATTGTTCTCTGTAAAGGCAAGAGCAGACACCTTTACGATTGCAACGACAAAAGAATTGAAACTGAAAGTGTTTTTGGGCTTTTTCCAGATGACCAGTCTCCACTTGCTCAAGTACCTAAGATCTTTTACTTTCATTTAGTTCATACCAAAGAGCCCAAGGAGAAACTTCAGTTTTTATCTGTTCCTCGTAAGAACTCAGTCGCCCTCATAACATCAGTGGACCAGAAGAGCAGCAGTGTAGTCCTGAACACTGTTGGAACTAAGCTCAAAAATGAGCCTAGTATACAGCAATGCTGCAAGGAAATTGACGAAGAATGTAACAGAAGGCATGATAAGGTTTCCTGTGTATACATTAGTAATTTCACTGACAAGTTTGTCCTGCCAGCTCCATTTGAACCTTTCCACCCAAGGTTAGATGAATATACTTGCTTGCACTGTTTTTGTATCCTTCCTGTTTATTAGATATGTTTTTATGCTTTTAGGGCAAAAAAAGAGCACTACAAAAAACAGCTTCAAATGTATCGCTCTATGTGGTATCCAATACGTTGCAAGACAATCAACGTTCTGTCAGATAGTAAAGATGCTGTATTGACCACAGTACGCAATGAAAGGATAGGAAGGATAGCTGCTTCATTGGCCAGTGTAGCCGGGGGTGGGTTGGTAATTACTGGTCTCGCTCTTATCCCATTCACTTTGGGTGGATCATTAGTTCTCTCAGTTGCTGGGAGTGCAGTTGGTGGTGGTGCTGCATTAGGAGGGATTGGTGCATTTGCAGCTTCAGCAATATCCACGAATAAGCATCTGAAGTCAGCACAAGAGCACATTAGCCTTGATCAGCAGTTGAGTCAAAGTATCAATGTTGTTGCGAAGAAATATGATGATGCTGTGATCAAGTGTAATGAGTCTGCACTTGAGAGAGGAGAATTGGCAGGAAACGTTGTAGCTGGTGGAGCCCATGGTCTTGCTAATCTGAGTAGAGTTGGTGTGGGCATTGCCTTTGGAATAGAGGCAGCTGCTGAGGCTGGGGCTGTTGCTTTACGTACTGGGGCACGTGCTGTGGGTGTTGTTTTAGCTGGAGCTTCATTAGCAGTGACAGTTCCAATTGATCTTGGGTTCATTATCTACAATAGTTACCAGATACACCAATCTTCAAAAGACAAGACTGGTAAAGCTGACAAAAATAAAGCAATACAATGGTTTATCAAACGAATTGAAGACATGCTTAAAGGTAAAAGCACATGTATTTCTAATAGTTTAATTTACTGAGTCTTAGTGGCTGCTAAATTTTTTTGCCTAATTACATTATTAATACTGTCAGTAATATTTTGGGAAAATTAAATTTTGTGAGTTTGTGGAAATTGGCCTATAAATCTTTTTTGCGAATCTTCAAAAAATTGCAAAATCCACAAAATATACAGTCCCTAAAAAAGGCGCCCTACAGTAATAAAATTTATGCATAGTTTTAGTACAATAACTGTCAAACTGCAAAAAGATAAATCCACAAATTATGTTACTTATAAGGATTTGCAAAATTTTTCTTCACAAAATTAATTGGCTGTTTTGTATTTAATTTATTTATAGATACTTGTGCCACTGTTGAGTTACAACAGCATACAATAAAAGGAGGAAAGACACTCACAATTGAAAAAGCTGATTCTGGGTATGAGATGATTGTACCAGCTCCCACTGAAGAGGAGTCAGTCATTAATATCCACACTATATTCTCTGGCCCTTTTGTTCTGCCTGATGGCTACACTATTGTCAGTGCTATATATGATGTTGTATTACCAGAGAATCTTCTTCATCCTGTTACCTTCAAGCTGGAGCACTGCATTGATCTTAATGATAAAGTTACTGCTAGCAAAATGTGCTTTGCAGTTGCTACCATTGATTTAGAAAAGAAAGTTTTCGAGTTTAAATGCATTGAAGTATTTCCTGAAAGAGCATTTCCTATAGGAGAGACATATGCTTCGCTGGAGATCAGTAAGAGCTGCCTTGTTTGTGTCTTGTATAGGGGATCCACGTAAGTTTGTCATTAATTTTATAAAGAAAGATTATTGTTTAATTATGTTAGAATGGATACATTAATGAAGTATGCTGCTCAATGTTCTTATTCCAGAGAATACAAGAATTGCTGGACAATGAGTATACAATTCACTAAATGCTTAAATGCACATTTGAAGGTTTGTTTTGTACATTATATAGACAGTCAGTCGCTTATTATTGATTTTGTTTTTACAGTATGTACATACACAGTCAGAGTCAGTTAGTACCATTGAGTCTTATCCATTTTCATTTAAAAAAAGAGAAGGTGATGAGCAGTTATTAATGGGATTTCGTAAGATCAAGGATCCAATGGACGTGAAAGGATGGAGGGTATCTCCCCTTACTCCCATACCTGATAAGGTAAGTATTATTGCATTGTGATTATAACATAAAAACTGAAAATGTAAATAAATATTTAATCATCATCTAATTTTTGATCAAAAATTATGTTGAAATAACTCAAATTTTTATGTAGCGAAGGGTATAAAAAACATGTAATCGAGACTTTTGGTCAGCAACAATAATGTATTATTGTTTATTTTCTTATCATGTATTGTTTTATTTCTTCACTGTTAATTCTTTTTGGTTATAATAGCAATAATAAGTTATAAAGTAGGTCAATGTGATTTGCCAACTGAGCAATGCAGTCACATAGTTTGACTGAGGCTATGATGAATTCTGGTCATGCTATTTAAGAACTAGCCAAGTTTTGTACAAGCAAAGAGTTTCTTTGCTTTCTCTGGACACTACTACTAGCCTACTACTCTGCCGCAGGCAACTTGCTTTTGCTATGGCTGTCAGTTTTTATATTATTTGGACATGATGCCTTTGTATAGGTTTGCTTGTGGTAATAAAAATTATGCAGTGCCTACAGTTACTGACCTTGGAATAATTCAATTATTAACCTCTTATTGTGTAATCTGATTGATCAAAGAAAACAAAAGTAGAATTACAACTCTATTATTATTATTATAGATATTAAAAGCTGATGTTGATTGTGTTGAATTGCAACAAGAGTTTTGGAAGCTGCAGTCTAGAATAATTCCATCGATTGAGTTTTCTGTTTTTGTATTCAATGAAGAAGCTGCCTCTGATGAGCTAGACAAATATCTAGATATTGATGGTACTACTACAGATATTTACATCAAGATACAAAAAGAATAAAAATTTAATGAATAATAAATGTAGTTTTGCAAATTGATACTTTTAGTCTGCATTTGATTTCTCTATACTTACTTTGACTCTTGTTTTGTAGCTTTAGTATAATTTTTTTAATGTTTAATTTAATATTAAGTTGTTTGCTGAAGAAAAGAATCTTCGTTAGTGTTATACTTGTCCCCAGCCCCATAGCTGCATAGTAATGTTATACTCATGTCCTGCATAGGTATATCAGCTGCTTCTACTTTAAACCAAAGTGATGCACTTAAATCTTCTAATCTGTTCTTCTTTCTCTGATGCTTTAGGCTACGCCAAAGTTGAGCAATATTGTGTAAACTGTCATAGTTTTAAAGATTATAAATTATTATTGAATAGTAAACCACCCTCTGTTATGTGTCTGCTATCTTTTTTAAGCAAATAGACATTAAATAATTTTTGATAGAATTGGCTCCGAAATCACTTATTGGATTTTTAGATTTGAATGATTTCCTTGTCTTATTAATTCAAATCTAATAATTAAGTCACTTTAGCAATTTTTTTGGAAAGCATTGACTGTAAATGTACTATTGTTTATTTCGAAAATGATGTCAAAAATTCCTATTAAATTTTATTATGCATATTATTGATGCCCTTAATAAACATGTAAATTTAGTCATGAGCCAGACTGTCTGATAATTTATTATGAGATGCACCAGTTAGACATGATAGCAACAATTTGCAAGGAAGTGAAGAAGGGCAAAATTTTCCCTGAATTCCGAGGAGTACAATTACAGCTGTAATTAAGACTCAAGCACAAGTACTTTTAAGTATCATAAAGTAGAGTAGATGTGCCAGTTATGAGACACTTAAGATATTTGAATTTTCAAATTTTATCATTGAAATTACAGGAAGTGTCAAATAATGTAAAACATCTGATAATACCAGCACTTAATCTATGTTTCACTTTCTTTTTAACAATCAGGAAAATAAAATCATCATAAGGGACTACATGTATTAATCATTGCATAGTTGAAGCATTAACATTTTGTTACAGCTCGGAAGGGAAATTTTGAAATTTTACAATTGCAAGTAGTACACAGGTTTAATGTGATGTCATATTCACTAGCTTATGCTGAGGGGCATAGATTGCCAAACAATGTGAAAGGACAATTTCAGTACTTTGGTTGCTCACTTGTTGCCAAGACCATGCCAAGAAGGTGCATATTATTTGGGCAAAAACTATAAATTTATTATATTTAGTACAGTGCCTTTTCCTTAGATCTTGCTTGGCAAACTTTCAGAATACTCCCTAATGGTCAGTATAAAGGACTTGACTCCCTCAATACTGCAGCAGTCAGCTGCCTAGCATTAAAATAGTGACAATCCTATCGTGCTATTTTTATTACATATTAACAAGTTAAACATGTTTGTACAAAAACACAGTTGATTTCATACTTGACCTGGCACAGCTTATTATGCATCAGAAATTAAACTACAAATCAGAACTGTATTTATAGTGTACTGTATACTTACATTGGTTGTTTTATTCTGGCACTCTCTAGCAAGGATCACCAGAAACTGTAATGTGGTAATCATAAATTTGCTAACTGCAACAAGGCCCATACACTGGAAGGTATTCATGATTCAATAGCTGATAGTAGTTTCCTCTTATTTGACAGATACAATGGCTAAATACTGATAATAATAATGTATTGTATAATAATAATTATGTGCATGTGATAGAAACATACTCTTATAGCATGTTTTGCCAAGTTTAGGACTAAATTACAACCATCTACTACTGTAACAGTGCATACTTTCATTATTGCCAATAATGCTATATAGCTGCTGCCAGTAGTGAGAAAATAAGTTTTAGTAACACAGACTATAGCCAATAAAATACCTCCTATTTTATTATAGTATAATGTATCAGTAATAATAAAAGATATCTGCATGCTCAAGGCAAAGCCTACGGTAAATATTGAGGGATAGTTTAAGGTCTCATATTACTGATATAGACCAATTTTCTTTTTTCAGGAATTCTTTGACTAGTTAAATGAACTACTGATTACTGCTGGTATGCAGCTGTATCATAGGCATAGGAATGGGGGAAGCTGCCCCCCAACTTTTCAGCAAGAGGGGCTTAGCCTCCCCAATGTTCACATGCTACGTCATGCTTTTCATGTTGAGCCCCCCCAACTTTTGAATCATTCCTACGCCTATGTGTATTTGATGCATCTAAAGTTACTGTATGTCTGGTTATAGATAATGTACTATTATAGACTAGTATACCAATGTTTTGTTAAGTGATGTTGGCTTAAGTTTACAGTGTTTTGGAAAAAGCACCTCAAAGACCAGCCCCAGCTTGGTTGAATTTATGTTTTGTTTTTTGTTTATGTATGAGGATTGAGGATGGAGCTATATTCAGTACTGAATGTAATCATTTTTATTATGAATCAATGAAGTAATGAACTGTAGCAGATATTGTCACTACTTCCATTGATTAATACACAGGTGCATGACTATAATGATCATATTATACTTTGTATGTTTATGTGCCATAAAGTAGCGGGTAATTTTAACCTTTTATTAAGAAAGTTATCCCTCACAGCTAGCACTTTATGTACAAGTACCGTATTTGCTCGAATAAACGCCCTGCTTAAATAAATGCCCATGCTAAATATTTTCTAACTATAGATACGCATATTTTAGCCAGTATATGTGCCATTGGATTTAGCCTAACTGTTGGAGTACAGTTTGGAATGCTTGAGGTTGCGGATTCAAATCCTCTGGAGGATTTTTTGTTTTTTTTACCTGATTTTTTTCTGTTAAGAAATAAACGCCCAGGGGTTTAATTGAGCAAATACGGTATATGACTATAATCTTTTTGATACATTAACAAAATACCTTTAAGAGTCTAACTTTACTTCAAAAATATATAAGTCACACACTTAGAAATTAACTACAAAACTTAAGTCTCATAATAGCTAACTGGGTTATAAGTCACACGCTTAGTTACACAAAGTTGTGTAATTTACTACAAAACATAAATCTCATAATAGCTAATTGGGTTATCTTCATTAGCAGTTCCCTCATCTCCACACACCCTCAACTCAATATAGTCAGTAGTGGTATTGCTACCATAGTCTCTGTGAAACCATGGGATACCAGGAGCATTGCAACAAGGTGTTTCTCTAAAGCCACAACCTTGACCATCCCATAATGGATCAGATGTATACAGTTGTTGTTGATATTTTATTGTATCAGATATTCCTGATTCACAAAAATAATGATCACTAACAAACGATTGAACAGATTGTGTGGAACCAGTAGCACAAGGACAGACATGACGGCCATCACCAACA